CAGACTTGTAGTTTTTGTATTTATTTTATCTAATTTTGAATCAATATCCACTTTCTCATAATAATTATTTGAAAATGATGGTTGTGGTGGATTCTTTAATATGTCTTTAAATACATATGATTCTAAAAAGTATTTTAAATCATTAATAATAGCGTTATTTTTTCCCTCTGTTGTTTGAATAGATTCAATACATTCAAATGCACTATCTACAGTATCTGTTATGTATTCATACTGTTCAAATTCACTACATTACTTTGATAATGAGAAAATAATAAAAATGATATACCCTTCATATTCTATGCTTAAATACTCATTTATTCTATTATTTATTATTATTTTCATTTAATTCCTCTTTCTTTTTTTTCTGTCGCACTTATTTTCCTTTATATTAACATTACATTTGATATAGTTTCATGTTTTTGTTCTTAATTTAAATTAAACGTCATTCATTCGATAATTTCAAATATAAACTAATTTTAATCATTTTACTGGTATTTAATTTTTTATTTTATCGAAAGAAAAATAAGAAATAATTATAAAATAGAATTACATATCAACAATTACCCCCACTTTTTATTTGTTTGTTGTTATTGTTAAAATTGTAAGAAATACTTTCTAAATAAATATTCAATTCTTAAATTAGAATGATAACAATAATTTTAACGTATTCAAATTTTATCTCAATTTTGTATTTTCTTTTTCATTTTATCGTTAATGTATAAAATATATTGAACATCAGTATTTTCATTTATTTAATAAATTTATTCAACTCTTTTTTTTTGATTTTATCTTTTACAACTTTCTTCTTTTTCTAACAAATTATTGTGATATAATTATTGTTTCTTGTGTGGATTATTTTGGATTATCATTTATATTAATTATATTCTTCTTTAAAATAAAATTACCATTGAACTTTTACTTTCACTTATTCTTCAAATCATTGTTAATTTGAATTATGTAATATTTTTCACTATTCAATGATTGTTATTATTTATCAAATGGTTAAATAATACCTTCCAATGAAATATTGTAAATCAACATTTCATTTAATTGTTGTTAAAAATAAATAAATTTATTGAATTAAACAGTTTCATTCATCTAAATTCATTCTATATGAATATTTATTTGATAAAGTATACAATAAAGAAATATGAAATGTTTGATGTTAATAAAAATAATGGAAATAAACAAAATACAATGATAATGAATTAATAGAAAAAATAATAAATATTCATATTCAATTTAATAAAATAGTGAATATAAACAACTTATTTATTGATTATTATAACACAGTTTATTTAATTTGTATATTCATTTGATGTTTTATATTAAAAATAATATTTAATCAAATGTACTTTCAATTTATTTTATATTCATTAACATGAATAATATTAGTTTAGAAATTAAAAAAATAGTGGTAAATTATTATATTTAGATAGAATGAATATCAAATGATTTACAAACACTACAAAGTCATGATAAAAAACTATTAAATATATTTCATCGATGTA